AATATTTTTAAATCATAAATTTAAAAATAAATCATAACTTTAATTGCTTAAACGTAGATTATAAGATATTTATTTATATATTAAAAATTATTCACTCTAAAAATTATATTTAAATAAATGTTACCTATATAAATAATTTATTTATTTTAGATTAATAGCATCTTGCACATGTAAATTATTACACAAAGTTAATCTTTCTTTAGAATATTTTTAATCACTTTTGATGTATAATAAAAACTAAACAATTTTCTTTTTTTTATATTAATTATAAATTTGAATTTTCTAATATTTTCTAATATGTCATGTATGTATGATGTATGAATAAAAATAAGATAGAGAAGAAACTTATATAAAATAAATAAAAATTATATGTAGCAATTCTTACAGATGGCGCAAAACAGATATTATATTGAACTTTATTAAAAGTCACAATAATAAATAACATTTAAAAGCTATTTCATATTATTTGTTTAAATTTTTGTTAACATTCAGTTGAAATGAATATTATAAAACTGTATAAATATTTTTTCGTTGCTTTTCTGTTTTATTATGCATTTTTGATGTTGATTATACACATAATTCGATCGAACAACATTCATTCTTAATTAAATACATATTGCCATTTCCTGTCCAACTATATTTTTCTAATATAAAATTGAAAATTTGAACAATAATTTTTATTTTAAAATTTTTTGAACATATAGCTTATATCTATTATTATAAATTATAGATATATATGTTAAGATTTATAGATTTATAATCAATTGATTAGATAAAGAAAATAATAAAAATAATAAAATTTCGGAAATGTTTTTAGAGCACATAAAATTTATAGAAAAAGTACAAGAAGAATAAATAGTGATAAAAGAATAAAAATAATAAAAAAATTAAAAAAATTTTATATTATTATTTTTAGAATGTTTTAAATAAAACAATTAAAAAACAAATAATAGAAGAAGGATAAATAAATAAATAAATTAATTATTAGCGCCATTTCTTAATTAAAGATATCTTTCTAATTATTTAAGAGATGGCACTACTTCTCAATTCTCATTTTATTTTATCTTTTGAAGAAATATTTTTGATACTCAAAAGATGGCGTTAATAATAAATATTTCATCTATTTCTATCTTTTTCTTATTATTTGTTTTCTTTTTCTATGTATGTTTAATTTGCGGCACACTACAAATGGCGTGAATTTCTGAATTTACTCTATCTTTGTTCTTTTTCTGTTATTTGATCTCCTTATCTATTTTTGCTCTTGCACGTGACCATACAAGATGTTAGTTAAATACTTATATTAAATATTATAATATTATAATATTTATTATGATATTTGTCATTTCTCTTTCAAAACTATATCTTAATCTTTAATGTAAAAAATACAATATTAAGTCATAAATTAATTAATCATAAATTAGTACCATGATGAAAATCAATATCTTATAGATTATGTTTTTAAAAATAAACTTATATTGTTTTAAATTTTTGAATTTAATTTTAAAATAATTTCCATTATGAGATTATTATTAATTTATGAATTAATATTATATTATAATCGATTCGATCAAAAAAATTTAAAAATTTGATAATTTGAAAAATAAATTGTAAATTTAATATAATTATAATTTAATAAATAAGCTTCAATCAATATTTTTGTATATCAATTTTTATATTTATTTTGATTTCTAAAATTGACTTTTCAGAATTATATTATTTTTTTACATATTAGATTAATATTTAAACTTAAACTTTTTAGCTGCAAAATTCGCAATTCAAACTATAATATTGAAATACATCTTTCTAATCTTTATCACTGAGAAAAAATATATTCTTATGTATCACATTATTCACTTCAAAATTTTATTTAATAGTATAATAACTTTTGTTCAATAACATATATACATATATATATTAATCTATTATGATACGTATGATAAGATATATATATACACAAGATATACATACACAAGTAATAATATTTTGGGCTTTTCAGTTAATTAGCATTTGTCAACAATACATTTGGTAGTTGGAAACAAACGAGAAATCATTTATTTATTCGTTCTTGAGTTCATAATCATAGTTTATCGCAGTTATATTTATATTTCCATTTATATTTCCATTTAAAAATAATTTTTTAAAAATTTTTCATTGTTCTTTCAAACAATAATTTTTCAAGCATCTTCAGTGATTAGAAATAAAAATTAGTTTTAAGAAAATTTAAAATAATTTAGTTTCGGTAAGTAAGAAAGAACAATTGCAAAATATTGATCGACAAAACTTTATATCTGTATAATACTTTCAGTTAACGACATGGATAATATGAATTCAAAGAATATAATCGATTTAGCTGACTTTATGATAGAAGAATTCGATATTGCATGGGTTGCATTATTTAAACAAAATTATAATCAACTCGATTATTATACAATAAAATTATACGTGGAAAATCTAAAAGAGCAACGAAATTTGATCATCTCAGCTAGCGCGTTCAATTCGGAAGATTATCCAGATCTTCAAAAAAAAAGAAAGCGTTTTATGCAAAAATATATTCCTCTTATAGCTGCAGCGGAAATCTATTTAATGAAATACAAAATATTCGACACGGAGGAAGCGATTACAAGTAATTAAATAAATAAAATTAATATTGGAAATCTACTATATAACTAAATTTATATATATGAAATATGTATTAATACAAACGAAATTACCAAAAAGAATAAAAGTATAATATAAATAATAAAAGTAATAAATAAAAGTATAAGGGTAAAATATAAGAATGATACAAATTGCGATTTTAAAGTTGATAAAAAAGTCAAATCCAATTTAAAATCTTGAAAATAATGACGATTCTTAAAAATTAAATGTATTTCTTCATTTTGTTGTCAAAAATATATTTAGTTCTTTTTTTAAATTTAAATTTATTTTTTATCATCAAATTTTATTTAAATTTCATTTAATTAAATTGAAATCGTTCAAAATCTTTAATATTTTTTTTTTATTTTTTTTTTTTTTTATTAAATTATAAAACTTATCTTGATCATAATATTCTTTTAATAATAAATATTTAAACATTTATAAAAACTTAAATTCAATTAAATTCTATTTTCTTTTTTATAAATTTTTTTTTATAAATTTTTCTTTTTATAAATTCTAATTTATAATATTTTCATTTTATTTTAATTCATTTTATAATATTTAAGAATTATAAATATATATTTATTAAATTAGTGATTAATAATGTTGCAATAGCAAATAATATAAATAATGTATATCTATATATGTATACTATACATATGTGTATACTATATATATGTGTATATATGTTCTACTAACTCTGAAATATCTTTCTTATTTCGAACAATATGCGAAAATAAAAGTTAAGATTTAAGGAAAACATAATATAATAATGATTTCTTGATAAGTGAATGCGTCAAGGAAATACAAAAATTTTTATTGTTTTAAATAAAATGTTTTATTTTTTTTTACGCTTAATTTCGATACAATAATAAATTCTGAGTATAAAAATATTAAGATTATAGGTTTTGTACTAAAACTTACCGTTTCTAAAATATGTGACTTGTTCATTACACATGCTTCAATAATTCATTGCATCATTTTGTGGAATTATTATCATATTGCGATACTCAATATTTTTCAATATTTTTCTATAAACTAAGAAAAAACTTGAAAACTTAATTGATCAATTGATCTAACACAATATTAATTACTAAAAATTAGTAACTTCATTAACAAAAAACCAAAGTTTCAGAAGATCCATTATCTTATAATCAGACATATTTTTATTAGATATTTCAAACACAATACAAGTATATAGTAAACATTACAAGATAATGATAAACTACGATATAAACAGATATAAATTCATTACAATTTAAATGAGTTTTTTAAAAATAATTTAGATTATATACAATCCGTTTAATCATTTATTAATATCTTTGAATAGCAATAATATCCATTATAGGTGGCGCAATCACAAAACCATCAATACCTTGAAGGCAAGGTGGAGGATGATTTGATGGCAATATGAAATGAAGTCTTTGTAACATGCATGCTACAAAGAGAAAAACTGTATTTTTTGCCAAAGTTTCACCCAAACATTTTCTACGACCTAACAAAAAATAGATAGATAACATAATTTGATCATATAATATTTAATAAATTAATTATCTTTTTTAATCTAATATCTAATTTAATATTCAGATAATTTAATAATTTATAAATTTAAGTAAACTATTGAAAATTTAAGAAAAATTTAAAGCTGTTTAAAATTAAATTTATATCAAGTTCCTTTTTATTACCTAGTCCAAATGGCATAAGCCAAGAATCATTAATAAAATCACCCTTTTCATTGATAAATCTTTCTGGTCGAAATATTTCCGGATCTCCCCAATGTTCTTTATCCATGTGAACACTTTTAAGATTAGCTAATAAAGTATAATTTTTTTTTATTTCGAAACCTAAAAAAGTGGAATCCTTTACTGCTCGATGTGGAATAGAAGTTGGCCCAATATTGGCTAATCTTGATACTTCTGCTATAACTGCTTTTAAATATGGTAATCTGTAAAAGATTATAGTAAAAGTAAAAACAAAAAATTTGTTGTAATTTTTAAATATTTTAAATATTTATTTAAAAACTAATTATTACCATAATCATTTCTTAAAATAATTTTTAACTTCTATCGTTAAATTACATATTTTTTAATATTATTGTAATATTTTCTATCAATATATCAAATATTTTATGTAAAATAAAATTAATACAATAATATTAATTTTTATTTTCAGATTATTCAAATTAAGGAATATTATATAATTTTAAAATAAGAATATAAATGAATAAATGACATAAATAAATTAATTAACCATCTTTATGGCTGAGAAAAGAATATTGATTTCAAATTTTTTTTCAGTAATATATATATATTATTCTATCATGAAAATAAGATATATATATAATAATATTTTGAATCTTTCAATTGATTAGTATTTGTCAACAATACTTTAGAAGGAAACAGATAAGGAATCATTTATTCATTCGTTCTTATGTTCCTAGTCATAGTTCATCTCAACGATATTTCCACTTCCAGTTAGAAATAATTTTTAAAAAGTTTTCCCTTATTATATTAAATGATTTTCTAAGAATCTTCATTGATTGGAAATATCTTCAATTAATTTTAAGAAAAAATTTATTGGTAAGTACAAAAAAATTAATATATTAATTTAATAAAACATTATTGTAATAAAATTTTATACGATAATTCATATTTAATTAGCAATATTTAATTAGCAACATGGATGCCATAATTGCTAGAAATATAATCGAATTAGCTGGAGCTATGATGGAAGAATTCGAAACAACATGGAACAAAATAAATGAAAAAGAAATTAACCAACTCAATTATCATACAATAAAACTACATTTGTCGCATATAAAAGAACAACGAGATTTGCTTATCAATGCTAATACATTCAATTCCTATCATTTTCCAAATCTTCTCGTTATAAGAAAGAATTTCATGCAAAAATATATTCCAATTGTGGCTGCAGCAGACTTATATATGATACGGTATAAAAAATTCGACATAGAGTGAAGAAATGAATAAAAATAAGTAAGTAAATCTTATATCGAAAACGAATTATTGTGTAATATAAATTTCTAATATAAATTTCAATTTCCAGAATCTTGATAATAATGAAAGTGACAATTCTTTAAAATTAAAAATAGTTAAGTTTCGTTTTTTTTTTTTTTTTTTTATTGAATTTAGAGATTCATTTCTTCTTAAAGATATTTCGAAAATATTAAGTTGCTTAAATAATATTTTCATTTTATCAAAATCGTTTTATTCAAAAATTAATCATTTTATTCATTTTTACGTATAGATATGTTAATTTATAACTTTTTTATGTATTTTTACTTCAATTCTTGCGTTAGATTAATAGCACATGGTTTTATTATTCGTTATTTTTTTAATTTTGTTATATAGATATATTCTACATATAAAAATAAAAACTAAAATACAAATCTACAAATATAAAATTTTGTCATCATGTAGAATAAAACAATATTGTTTACAACTGTTGTATGTACTTTATCTAAGTTAAAATAAAATCCTTCAAAGTTTTTAATACTTTTTATTTTTTAATAAAATATAGATAAACTATTATAATTAATTTCTAGTATATTAATACATTCATGGGATACCTTTCGATTGTAGAGATTAAAACAAATACAAAAGTTTACTTATTAAGTATAAGCAATTTAAATTCACATTAATGAAGCGAGACAATAGAATGAGGACAGTAGTGAAACAAAAACGGAACTATCTCATTTTTTTTATAATCTCGTTTTATCTAAATTTCAATTATAATTTAATAAACAAGTCTTAACCGATATTTTTGTATATAAACTTTTGTATTTCGACCTTTAAAATCAATTTTCCATTTGTATAACATATAAAATATGTGAAAAAATTATTTATAATATTATTTTAAATTATATTATGTAATTTTATTTATTATTATATTATGTAATTTTATTATGTATTATTTTATTTTATGTAAATATTATATTATGTGAAAATAGATTCTTTAATGCAATTATCCATGATTGATTATATATATTACTGTTTTTAAAGAAATATAAATATAATATATCTTACCGATCTTTGTCGCTAAGAGAAGGATAAATATCTTTGTCTATTACTCTACTGATTTCATCGTATACCTTAGACTGTACATTTTGATGAACTACGAGAAATGCTATTATAAAACCAATGGTACTGTTAGTGGTATCAACGCCAGCAGAAAATAAATCTTTTATTATGTACAGTAGTTGATTTTCTACAAAGGAAAAAATACTTACATTATCTATAGGAAGATATAAAGAAGAAACAGCTATTCAAAAATGATGAAAATAAATATATAATTTTATTTTTAAAAATAAAAATAAATATATCAATCATTTATTTGTTTGTATTTATTCATTTATTCACCTTATCAATGCTGCACTTTGTTTGATAAAAAAATATGATACTTCTCTATAAGTAATCGTGTATACAGAATAATAATATATTCGTGGGATACTTTTAGAAAGTTAACTTTACATGATAAAATAAACATAAAAAATTGATATACAAAATGTCAATTAAAACTTTATTATTATAAATTATATTATTATTAATATTAAATAATTTAAATTAAATAATTATTAAATAATTTAAATTAAGTATTGAGATGAAGTAAAACAAGAATTCAGTGCATAATAATGTAACAGAGACAGAGCGGTCTCATATCTAACAAAAACAAATTTCATTTTTTGTATATCAATTTTTGTGTTTGTTTTAGAATCGACTCTCCAAAGATATATTATTATGAACATATTAATATCCTGCATAAGTTTTTAAATTTTAAAGTCCTAAATTTTAAAATTATTATATTATGTCAAACTTAATAATACTCAATAATTTATGTAACTAAAGAAAATCCACTACAAATTTTTTTTTAGTATTCTAGATGCGTTTGAAACTTAAAAATTACATTAAAAATAATTTTCTAAAAAATTTAAACATTATATAATCAACTTAATAGGAAAAAAGTTTTATGAAGAAAATTTATTACGAAATATTTAATTTAAGAGAGTTTTATATAATTCGAAAGTTGTTTTTTAATTGAAAGATCCATTAAGCATTGTCAATTATCAGTCGATAATCAAAAATTAAAAAATCAAACTTCACAAATAGTAAATAATCAAAAATCATATATTTTGAAAAGAATAATCTAGATAAAATGATTACCATTAAAAAATGAATGAGATGAATTCTTTTTTTGTATTTCTTGTAAATAAACATCTATAAAATTTGTGCATTTTTCATTTATTTTCTTCCACTTATGCTTTGCTATAACCTCCTGTAAAATTAATTAACAAGAAATAAAGATTTTCCATCATTATCATCTTTTGTTACTTATAAAATAAATATAAATATTTTTCTTATTTAATATGTAATATTTTATTATTTTTAACAATAATAGCATATTGTGTTATAATATAATGTATTTGTTTTGATCTCTAAAATTGATCTTCCAAATATGTTCCGAAAATATATTAACATTCTACATAAAATCTAACTTATCAAAGATAAATTTATTGCATTCTATGTATAATTTTATATTAATTATTATTATTATATTAAATAACCTATTTAATTAATTTTTTATAATATTTTATCTTAAATATATTTCATAAAGTAAATTTTTTAAACATTGAAAAGTTTAATAATATAAAATCCAATAAATATTCGAGTAATGTACATAATAGATTAGAATAAAAAACAATTTTATTTATTAATTTTTATTAGTTTATGATTTTTTTATATTTAAATTCTTAAATCAAATTATTTGAAATTCTAATAATTTTTAGTATGTTTTTTAATGTAAATAAACAATATTTTTATAATATTCAAAAAGAAAGATAAACTGAATTATTCAATAATAAACTCAAGCAGAAAAAGAAAGATATACATTAATAAAAAGTTATTATTTATAATTAAATGTTACAAAACTATTAACTATTATTTATACATTTATAAAAAATTTATATGTATAAAAGTATAAAGAAAACATATAATATACAAGAATATGTAGAATGTTTAAAATAATATATTTATTATAATATTTAAAGAATAAATCAAATCTTTATTTAAGTTCCATTTCTATAATTCAAAAATATGAATTTGATAAATAATTTACGGTATAATCATTATATACTTATTTTTAAAAGTTACGTACATATATATTTATACATATATATATCATATTTGGTATGTTTTCAAAATCGATTTTCTCGAAACGAAATTTTAAAAATTTATAAACTTGAAAATAAATTTTTTATAACTTACCATAAAAAAATTATTTATACGTTTCTGTCGTTCTACAAACGCGGAAAAACCTGTCAAATTTGGGAATAAATGTCTGAGAAAAGGAAATTGATTTATAATTCCACCAGAAACATTCGAACTTTTAACAATATCTTGTACTATGTTTATCGCTTCTTTTAGATTTGAACTTTCCATTCCTACATCAAGTCTGAATATTTAAAATATTTAAAAATATATTAAATATTAAAAATATTTAATATATAATGATAATATAAATTAATAATATCATTTATTCTTCACATACTTTGTACCATCTATGAGAAGCCACAAATTGCTCAAAACAGCTGCTGAAATGATAGATCGAATATTTTTAACTGTTCCATCTTTTGTTAATTCAATAATAATATTTGTTAATGCAATTGCATCATGCTGAAGTATATGTTCCATTGAATTTTTTCCAAAACCAAACTGCTTCAGAGTTTTTAATGCAAATCTATTAAAAAGAATAGATTAATAAGATAATAATAGATTAATAGATTAAAAAGAATTAAAAAGAATTAAAAAGAAAGCTATTAAATATATTTTTAATACTATAAAATATTTGGAAAAAAGATATTTTTAAATAATATCCGTACAATATTTAAATTAATGAGAAATTAATCATTATAATATTTATAAATGCTGATTTATGATATAAAAATTTTATTTTAATTGTACGTAAATAACCTTCTTTGACTATGCCAAACATCGGTGTCTGTAAATAATATTCCTTGTTGCATACCACCACATCTGTATTTGTATAAAAATCCACTTGGTCTGCCATCGAATTCAGATCGATTTAACATCTCTGTTACTGCAGATTTACCAGAAATTATAATCAATGGTTGATCGAAACCTAATCTGAGACCAACAACAGATCCATATTTTTCGGCTAATCGACACCAAGTATCAGAATAATATTTTGTTTCATTTATTAATCTTATGATATCAAGTATATTACCAATCAAAGGTAACCCTCGTGGACCTTAAATATGAATATACATCGTTAAAAATTAATATCATTTATATGTGAATACATAATTGAAAATTTTCACATAAATAATACCCGGAGGAAAATTTATAGGTCGTCTATAATCGAATAATATTTTAATTAATGGAATCACGAAACACAAGATGACAAACCACATCGTTGGTTCAGTAATTATACAATATGAATATCACTAATTTCTGTAAATATGATTAATAAAATTAAAAATTCTAATATAAATTTAAAGAATTATTATAATTTCATAAATTTAATAATAAACATTATAGCAAAATTGTTATCTTGAATTTCAATTATATTTTAAAAATTGTTTTAAAAATATTTATATTTATTCCATGAAATAGCTGATTAAAATATGTCTTCATTGTATGATATTTTGATAAAATATATTCTTAAAAATTCTTAAAATAATGACTGAAAAATTTTAATCTTTAACATTTTTTTTTTAATCTTTAACATTTTATTTTTAATATTTTTTATTTAAATAGTAATAATCATCCTTGTAAATCAAAAAAATTATTATCTATAGAATAATATAGTTATAAAA